ACATGTTAGATTCTAACTACACAAACCTTGTACTACTAAAATGAAAAAATAAATTTAACTAACATTGATATAAAATACACAAATAAGTTATGGAAAAAAATTATGTAAATAGTATGAGTGTTAAATTTTAAAAGTTATAAAATGATGATTAGTTTATTATTTTATATGTAAAAATTGGTAAAATAACCAACAAGTGTTGATTTTTATATAAAATCTAAATATCTATATATTTAGTACTACATGGGCATACAAAATTTTTTTTAGTCCATAAAATTGCAATGGAAATATATTTTAATGAAATTCCAATGGCAGTTTCAATGCCATTTTATATGTTAAAATTTCCCATTGTAAATTCAAACGAAAATATTTTTGTTGGAATGAGTTTATTATTTTTGATAATTCCAAAGACCAATTTTCTAACCGCTAGAATATGACCCAAAATAATAATTCCAAATAAAATTTATATTCGCTCATAAAATTTATACAATAATAAACCGTTTGAAAAATAGCGTTGGATTCATTAATTTCCAACTGCAATTTCAAGTGAAATTTAATCCAAAAAAATATTTTAGTGTTGATCTTCATTGGAATTTTTCAACATAAATTATACTATTGAAATAATCGTTGGCATTTTAATTGAAATATTTTATTGCTGAATTTTTTATAGAATATAATAATATTTCTGTTGTGGTCTATTTATATATACTGTTATTTAAAAATACATAAATATAGATAAAAAACTTATGGAGTATTATCAATAAATAGTTTTTTATTATATTTTTGTATGAAAAATTAAATAGTTATTATTTTAAAAAATAAATTATATATATATTATATATATATATAAATTATATATAAAAACAAAATAAATTATATATATATATAAATTATATATATATATATATAATAAATTATATATGTATATATATATTTAATCAGTATAAGAACTCGACAAATTTTACTCAACTTTAAAATTCTGGCTTTCCATTAAACATAATATTATTTTATAATTTATTATTTTTATGGTAATTAGATTTAAATATGGATACATTTTTAATTATGATATTTAGAAGAATTCTATTCAATTGAGAATTTAAGTGACATTTTAAGATTTTTTAAAATTTGAGATATTTTTAGGATTTTTAGATTTGGGAAGAATTATATGAAATCTTAACTCTGGAGGTAGCATTTGAAGTAGGATCTCGTATA